ACACACACACACACGCAGAGACTGCAGACCCAGACCACACCGCCTGCCCCACTCCGCAGACTGGCGTGCTCCCTCCCTCAGTTCTGACAGCTTGTGCCTGCGCTCTTTAGTGCTTTGTAAATGGAGTGTCATGTCCTCTGCATACGGGGCGGTTTTGCCTCTTTCCTGCCGCCAAGTTGCATCCTTGTTTCTTCTTGTCTGATTGCTGTGACTGGACTTCCCGTAGTATGTTGAACACAAATGATGAGAGTGGGCGTCCTTGTCTTGTCCCAGAGGTTTAGAAAGGCTTTTAGCTTTTTTCTTTGAGTACTGTGATGACTGTGCTTGTCATAAATAGCTTTTATTACATTGAGATGTCTTCCCTCTGTACTCACTTTGTGAGTTTTTATGAAGAATGGATGTTGAATTTTATCAATGCTTTCCCTGAACCTTTTAGGACGAGCATGTTGTTTTGTCTTTTCTCTTGTTGATGTGTTGATTCACATTGATCGATTTGCATATGTTGAATTATCCTTGTGACCCTGGTATGAATCCAAGTTGATCATGGTGTGTGATTCTTTCTGTGTGTTGTTGAATTTGGTTAGCTAATATGTTGTTGTGCGTTTTACATGTATTTTCATAAACAGCTTTGTTCTGTAACCTTTCTTTTTTGGTTGTGTCTTTGTCTGGTGTAGGTATCAGGGTGACGGTGGCTTCATAGAATGACTTTGGGAGTGTTTCCTCCCCTTCAGTCTCCTGGAAGAGTTTGAAGAGGGCCAGTATAAGCTCCTCTTTGTCAGTTTGGTGGAACTCCTCCATGCAGCCACCCAGCTCTGGCCTTTGGTTTGCACGGAGTTTTTATTGGTATGTTACAGATTCTGTGTCACTTCCCGTGGCCGCTCTGTTCAGGCTGTCTACGTCTTCTTGACTCAGTTCTGGCAGGCTTGTGTCTCTAGAGACGCCTGCATCTCTTCTAGGTTTGCTGTCAGATTGGTCAACACACAGTGGTTCGTAGTACTCTCTCATAAACTTTTGTATTTCTGAGGTATCAATTTTTAAAACTTAATTATTAATTAGTTTTGGCTGTGCAGGACTTCCTTGGTGGCTCAGATGGTCAAGAATCTGCTGCAATGTGAGAAACCTGGGTTCGATCCCTGGTTGGGGAAGATCCCCTGGAGGATGGCATGGGAACCCACTGCAGTATTCTCGCCTGGAGAATCGGACATAGGAGCCTGGCAGCCTACAGTCCATGGGGCCGCAGAGAGTTGGACACGCCTGAGCGAAAGAGGACAGTGCTGGGTCTTCCTGCGGCCCAGGGGCTTTTCCCACGTCGTGCTGAGCTCAGCGCAGCTTTTCTCTTCGCTGCGGTGCCTGGGCTCCTCGTTTTGATGGTGTGTCTTGTCGCAGGGCTGGGCTCTGGGCCCGCGAGCTCAGCATTTGCGGCCTGTGTGGGATCTTTTCCCAGCCCGGGTGGAACCCACGTCCCCTGCATTGGCGGCTGGATTCGTACCCACCAAGCCACCAGGGCAACCTGGTAGCAGCTGTTGTTCCTCCTGTTTCATTTCTTATTTTATTTATTTGAGTTCCATGTTGTTGCCTTTTGAATTTGATGTGATGGGATGGACTCCTACAGTTTTATTTCAGTTATTCACCATTATGCTTGAAAACTGACCTGTGTTACTCTAGCAGTCCACCTTTTTGAATTTTTTGTTTAAAATTCTGTTGCAGATATATACACCAAACCATTCATTTTGGTGAAAGTGATTTCTGCAATCTTTTCTACTGGGAACAACCCACGTGTCCACATTCTGCTTGCACCCTCGTGGCTGTGCACGCATCTTCCTCTAGGTTATGCAAGTGTGGACCAGCGCTGTGTCTCTGCTTTTCACTGAGAATTGCTGCCGACTCTCTAGGTTGAGCAGGGTGATGAGTACACCTGCCCGTGATATGCGGGATTCGTCAGAGTCAGCCTTGTCTCCTCCATCGTTTTCTCCTCCCCTCTCTCACAGATGAACTAGGAGGTGGGCATCTCATCTCAGGGAACCTGGGGCATGAAACTGAGGTGGAGACCATCCTATGTGACGTGTACTGCAAAGGACACATCTGTGCATGTGGGGCCATCGGTGGGGGTGGGTGGACCAGACTCGCTCCTCTGGGAAAGCCAGCCTGCTCCTTCCTTCCCACCCGGCATTTAGCCCATTCACCCGGGCTCCTGGAGGTTGGCCACGGAGAGCGTTTGCACCAAAGCAGACACACAGTTCACACGCCTGGGCTCTTTAAGAATTTATTGCCTGATGATTGTTTCTGTGCTGGGTCTGTGTGCACAGGGGTGTGTCTGGTTGTGATGAGCGGGGCTGCTCCCTCGCTGAGGCATCTGGGCATCTGCAACACTGGCCTCTCTGGCTGCGCGCGGGCTCCAGGACGTGCCAGCCTCAGTCACTGCGGCTCACGGACCCAGTTGCCCCTTGGCACGTGGGATCCCCCAGGATCACGGATTGAACCTGCGTCTCCTGCGTTGGCTGCCAGATTCTTCACCACCAGGGAAACCCCATATCAGCACTCTTTACAAAACGATATATTCCTGAGCTCATTTACCAGCGTAGCCCTGACTGTCACTTCTAGCGCCAGGGATCCCATCGCACTGACAGTGTTTCTGGAGAAACTACACGGGTGTCATCTGATGAGGAGAGGAGGGTGTCAGGGGCCCAGGGGGTTCAGGGAAGAATCTGGATCCATCTGTTCCAAACGGGGCCCCGCTTACACCCATTTATTCAGTTACTTAAACGACGTTCTGTTTCTGAGAAGGGATGGAGGTCATTGCGCACACCAGAGACGGCGGGCATGAACAATGAGGCTCACATCGTCCAGGATAGCGGACAGAGCCTGAGGGCCTGCAGGGTGAGGACCCGCCCCTGCCACTGGGATGCACCTCCGGCCGGGAGTGGGAGGAGCCGGGAGTTGGGGCGTCCTCCCCGGGAGGGAGGGGGGAAGCCCCGTGAGTGGAGGCCGAGCCCCCAGGTCCCCCTCCCCGGGACGCCTGGGCCTCCTCCTGCCTCCGCGGAGCGTCTTCCCCCCCGGGGTCAGAGGCTCTTTCTGAATCTCCCGGGCTGGACGCTCGTGTCGGGGGCTGGGGTGCTCTGGAAGGTGTCGAGGGGCCCTGTGCTCAGTTCCGGGCCGCGTCTCGGGCTCCTCCACGGTCGTGCCGAGCCTGGCAGAGCAGGACCCCGAGGAGCAGCAGGACTGAGGCCGCGAAGCCCATCCGGATGAGATTCTGCACCGTGTAGTCTGGGGTGAGGGCGCACAGGTCAGCGCCGGCACAAGCACCTGCCTCTCGGGAGAGGACGCGGCCCCGAGCCCAGCCCCTGACGGGGACGCTGTCCCCGTCCTCACTCTGGGTCTGACCGCGGTGATGGGGGAGGGTGTCGGGGGCCCGAGGGTCCTGAAGGGAGGCTGTGGGTGGGCCGTGTCCTCCTCGGGGAGCCTCCCGGGGGCAGGATGGGGTGGGGGCGGGCCTGCTCCTCCCCAGACTGACCCCCATCCCGCAGCCTCAGGCCCCTCCAGCCTGTGGCTCCCGCGGCATCTCTGCCCGACTCCCCTCCGGCCCATGACGATCTGAGGGGCCTTGTGCCCCCAGACAATCTCAAAGCGCCCTGGGGTGGGCTGTCTCCCTTGAGCACTGAGCCCTGTGACTCCCCAGTTGTTGAATTGGGGCCCGAGGGTGGGGGCTGGGCCCATGGGTCCTGGGAATGAGCCCAGGAAGGGGTGGGCTGGGCTGACCCGGGGACCCCACCTCACTGCCCTCTGCCCTGCACGGGCCTGTGGCCTCCCCGAGACCGTCCCGGACCCCAGTGCGTGAGGAAGGGGTGGGGTGTGAGCTCCGAGGCCCCTCCCTCAGGGGACCCCTCCCTCAGCACCCCCTCCTCCAGGACCTCCGGGGCCTCCCAGGGCACAGAGCCCCGAGCTGCTGAGTCAGACGGACAGACGGGCCTCACCTGAGACCAGGAGCGCCAGGGGCTCGCTGGGCCGTGACAGCAGGTGGGGCTCTGTGCTGAGTGCGCGGTAGCACCTGTAGGTGCCCCCGTGGGCCGAGCTCACAGGACTCAAGGAGAACTCGGCCTGGAACCGCCCGCCTTGATCCTGGGCGCGCAGACGCAGGGGGTGATGGGCTGCTCCCTCCTGGGACAGAAGGAAGGTGTCCGTCCCGTCTCCTGACTGACACAGCAGGGTCACGTTCTCCCCCGGGGCCACCGAGGGGCCCGGCCGTGCTGAGAGGGAGGGTCTGTCTCTGAGCCATCCTGCAGAGAGGAAGGGGGTGCGGGCCCGGCCCTGGTTCTGAGCGGGACTCCGCTGCCTCTCTGGACCCTCAGCGCCGTCTGTTTCTCCGAGTCTCCCCCTCCCCCACCCCATCTCTCTGTCCCCTCCCTGGGACCCCTCCCCCTGGTCCCAGCATCACCCCTGGGGCTCCCCGGTGGGGCCTGTGCAGAGTCTGGCCCCCGACTGACCCGCTGGCCCCTCACCTGCCACCAGGAGCTCCAGGGGGTCACTGGGGGCCGACCACTCGGAGGAGAGGCCGTGTCCACCGTAGCATCTGTACCGGCCCCCATGGACGGTGCCCACCGGGCCCAGGGGGAAGTCGGCCTGAGAGAGCCCCCCCTGGGCCCTCCGGGCAGGTCGCTGGGGGAGGTCCTGTCCCCCCTCCTTGGACAGAGCGAATCTGGCGTAGTCCATGTCAGAGCGACACTGAAGGGTCAGGTTCTGTCCAGAGGTGACGACAGGGCCCTGCGGGGTCAGGAGGGACGGCTTCCCAGACAGCCCTGGGGAGAGACAGATGCCAGGTTGTTGGGACCGCGTCCCCCGTGGACACCCTTCCCGGCCCAGCCCCAGGCCTCGCCTTCTCTGTCTGTGTGTCTGTCCTGTGACCACCACGCTCTCTCTCCTCCTCACGGGGCTCCCCTGGGAGCAGAGACCCCAGGACGTTGTCTTGTCTGCACAAATGTGGGGTCAGGTCGGGACTTCCTCACCTGAGACCAGGAACTTCAGGGGGTCGCTGGGGGCTGACCACACCCAGGGGGTGTCCCTGTTAAGGCCGTAGCATCTGAACGTCCACCCGTGTCCGGGGCTCACGGGGCCCACGGGGAACAGGGCCTGGGTCTGCCCGTTCGGGCTCCGCTGTCCATCCAGAGTCTGAGAGGACTCATTTTCTCCTTCCTTGGTCAGAAGGAACCTGTTAAATCCCTGACGGGAGCCACACTGCAGGGTCACGTTCCCTCCCGAGGTCACCACAGGGCTCGGCAGGGCTGAGAGGCTGGGTTTGTTGTAAGGTCCTAGGAGAGAAGGAGGCAGCTGGATCCCTAGGACTCCCCTCCACCCCCCGCCCAGGGCTGGGCTGTGAGAGGGACACCCCCTGAGAGCAGACCCCCTCCCGAGGGCAGAGCCTGAGGCCCCCGAGAGTCTCTCACCTGTCACCACCAGCTCCAGGGGGTCACTGAGCTCTGACCAGCGAATTCCCCTGAGATAGTAGCACCAATAGCGCCCTGTGTGCTGCTCAGTCATCAGTGAGATGGAGAACTTGGCCTTGTCCCCGGGCTCCAGGGGTTTCTGTCTGTCCCAGGGGACTGAGCTTCCCTCTTTATCCAGATGGAACTCCTGGGCCTCTAGGGGCCCCTGACACCAGATGGTCACGGGGCTCCCCCAGGGGACCACAGAGCCCGGCTCAGCCCAGATGGTGGGTTTGGGGGGAGCCCCTGGAAGGAAATCAGAGGCGGGCTCACCAGGGGTCTGCCCCCAGGCCCTGGCTCTCAGCCCAGACCTCCCAGACTCCCCCTCTATGAGCCCTGAGCTGCCCTCCCCTCCTCAGGGCCTCGGGGTGACCCTTGTCCCCAAGAGAGGAGAGAGCTGGGCCCTGGGGACAGACTCACCAGCCTGCACCTGGGTCCTCAGGCCCACACTCAGCCCTGGAAGAGAGAGCCCTGTGAGAGGTCTGCCCTCAGCTCTGAGCAGCTCCTCTCGTCCCCGGGAGCCTCCTGGGCCCTGGGGTCCCCTGATGGAGCAGGCTGGCTGGGTGGGGGGTCCCTCCAGTCCAGGGCTCCCCCTGCCCCTCCTCATCTCACCGAGGCAGAGCAGGGCGGGGAGGGTGGGGGCCATGGCGTCTCCTCCCTGCGGTCCAGGCCGTGAGGATGGAGGAGACCTGGGTGTCCTCCAGAGAGACAGAGCACAGGGTGTGTCCTCTCCAAGGCTGGGGCTTCCTGTCACGTGGTTGTCATATCAGCCTCCCCGCAGGAAGGGGAACAGCCTCTTCTTGAAAGCCTGGTGTCGTCCCCATGACAGTCCCAGTGTGTTCCTGAGACGCCCCTTCCAGATGAGGACGGCCAGGCTCCTTCCCTCTGCAAGCCTCGCCTCGGGGTCTGCTTCCTCCTCTGCCCCTCCATCAGCAGGTCCCTGGGGTTCCTCACTGTGGCCGGGTCACCAGGCCCTGGAGATGCTTCGGGGAGGATGCCGGCTCCTGCTGCCCTTGGGGCTGAGATCCCCAGAGACACATCGTTTTTTAATTGGAGGATGGTTCCTTCACAGTATGGTGCTCGTTCTGCCACACATCAACATGGATGGGCCATATGTGTCGCGTGGCCCTCCCTCTTGAACCCCCCCTAGGCTGTCACAGAAGCCTGTGTGGGCTCCTGAGTCACACGGCACGTCCCCCGGCGGTGTGTTTCACACGTGCTCTGTGTGTGTTTCCATGCTACTCTATTCCTCACACCCTCTCCTTCCCCGGTGTGTCCACAAGTCTGTCCTTTATGAGGGACGCACGTTCAGCGTCTCCCTGGGGCTCAGTTGAGTCCGCGTGGCCGAGAGCCCAGAGGAGATGCGCAGGGAATCAGGATGGAAACTGACTCCTCCCCTGCCCTGGAGTGGGGAGCCCCCCATCACAGCCCCCTTCAGGGGCGTCTCTCTTTACCCCATCACTGTCCAGCCCGCCTTGCTGGGAACAAGCCCCCGGGGGCTTCCTGCCTCCTCGGGGCCCCGGGGTCCTTGGGCACAGGCTCCTCCGGTCTTGCCATCACCTGCAGGCTTTCGGGGGTGTTGATTGGGGTCAGAGCTCTCACTCTGGTGGGAACAGATGTTCCTATAAACGTGTGCCCGCTGCTCATGGGACCTTGAGCGACGGTGCCCTTTCTCTGCGCCTGAGCTTCCTCCTCTGCATGTTATCCGAACCCCAGCCCTCAGAGGGGCTGTGGGCTCTTGCTGCCGTCATCACGGTTAATTTCCAGACGAGGTGACAGGAGAGGGTGGACGTGATGGGCTCCTGGCTCAGACTGCACCCAAGGGGGCGAGTGTGGTGCCCACCCAGAGCCTCCTCTGCTCCTGACGCTGAGACCTGCTCCGGAGAGTGTTTCTGCAACACGAAACCACAGACAAGTGCAGAAGAGAAGTTCCCCAAATGGAGAGGGAACCACAGCGAAGCGGGGAGAGGTAGGCGGTGTGGCCCCGGCAGCGGGGATCATCTCGGGGTCAGAGGGAGGTCCACCCGTGTGGACACAGAGAGGGACCCATCCTCACAGAAACATAAAGGGAGGCAAGCATGTGGATTATTTCGTAGAAGAACAGGCAGTTACTGAAAAGAGTCGAACAGTTTTGACGTGAACAATCCAGTAGATTCAACATTTTAAAAAAAGTCAGGCAGTCAAGCAGACAGCTGAGCGGCCACATGTGAAGTCGGAGTATAGCACTGAGGGAATGTTCCGGAATGCAGCAGAGAGCGCAGAAAGGCAATTCAGTAGAGGCGGGACTGTGCTGAGGGCCAGTGTGGTGTCTGTCTTAAGTGTCAGAAGCGAAGAAGCTCACGACAGACAGCAGTGGCTGAAGAAATGAATAGCGGAGCCTCCTTTCCTGAGGAGAACCGACCTGGGGAGGGC